GGAAACAGATACAGAAGTTCACAGCCAAGCACTGACTGGAGCTCAGTGAATCTTGTTGAAGAGAGAGAAGGAGAGAACCCACAGAAACAACTAACCTAACTAATAGGACACCACAGAATCTGGACCAACCGCTAGGGAACCTGCATGGGACCAACTTCTACACTGTGTGACAGTTGTGTAGCTTGATCTATTTGTGGGACTCCTAGTGGCGGAAGCGGGATCTGTACCTAACACTTCCGAGGCTTCCAGGAACCTATTCCAGATAGTAGGTTGCCTTGTCCAGTCTTAACACAAGTGGAGGAACTTAGTCCTACCTCAACTTGGCATGCCATGCTTTGTGGACACCAATGGGAGCCCTGCCCCTTTCTGAACAGAAACAGAGAAGTGATTGGGAGTCAGAGAGGTGGAGGAGGGGAGGAGAGGAAGGAGGGAAAACTGCAGTCAGGATTTAAAAGAAAGGAATCAATTTAATTACTAAAAAAGAATAAGATTAATAAGATGAGAAATTACACTTTACTGTGCTCGAAAACCGCTTATCTCTGTGAGGCAGTGTTTCATCATGTATAGATGTAGTGACCAGGCTCCCATTTTAGCAGCCATGACAGGCTGACATGTGCTTACATGACCTTGCCATTCCTGTCCTGGTCACTAGGAGGTCAGATGCCCTCCTCATGGCAAGGAAACAATCAGAAGTTAGCTGGCAGGACTGTGCTTCATGGCTCACGGGCAAGTGCACAACAGTGACGTGCAGAACATAGCAGCCGCCCAGGGAGGGCCTATGGACCCTAACAACCAGTTGACCAATCAACACAGGGCAGGCCACCCAAACCTGGAAGAACACCAATCCTGAGACTGTTTCATACCCTTAGACGCTCCCCTTATGCTGCCCTTTAAGATCTCTGCCTCATGGGTTCTCAGGGTTTTTCTACAGTCATCAGCCATGGTGGATGAATAAAGGACCTGAGATAATGGGTTAGCTAATTAAACAACTACAATAAAAGACTCTTTGCTTTTGCATCAAATTTGGCCTCTTGGTGATTTTGGGGTTCAAAATATGGGCTCAACATAGAATGAGGACAGAACTCTGCCCAGATCCCTGGATGAGTTATAACAGACTCAATGATAAAGAAAACTCATATTGCCCATAGTTGGAAGTCAGTGGACTTAAAGCAGGAGGGCTGTATTTTATGGGAGCATTCTTCTATTACTCTCAAAGCCTGTGTCCTGGATACACTAGCCAGTAAGGCTCGCCTATTCATCCTTATTAAGCTCATTAAAAGAACCAATTTATCCAGTGGTGATGTGGCTACCTATAGCACAGGCAGGAATTCTGGAGTCAAGGTAGGCAAATCTGACATTCTAAGACAGCCTATTCTTTATAGCCAGTTCCAGTCCAGTCAGGGATTCATGTAAGAGTATTATTAAAACAAAAAAGGAATCAACAGAAAATGACATGCAAATTATTAATGAAATTTTAAAACATATTTATTCAGTTTGTCTAATCTGGAACAGTGATGAAAAATAACTAATCCATACTTTGGATCAGAACAGGTTTAGATAGAAGGCAAAAGATATGCAAAACTAAGAAATCTAATGAAGCTACATACTGAATTTTTCCCAGCTCTAAAACCCTCCCTCAATCTCAGATCCTTTCTCTCCTGCTGAGTGGTCAGATAAGGAGGAAATGCTTCTCCAATAGAGACGTCCTCATGTGGAGGACTTTTCCCACAGAGAGATTTCCCCAGGGAAATTTAGGTTTCAATGTGCTCCTTGTTACACTTGTGATAGCCAAAGGGAGAGATATGATGGTCTCTGTAGAATAAAATTATCCCTACCATGCAGGCAGCTTCAGGAAATGACAGGGTGGGGACTGGGGAACTTTAGGTCCACATAAGGAAAGAAAAGTGGGGCCTTCTGGACACTCTGATTGACAGCTACATGTAGATGCCAAAAAGAAGGAGAGAGGGGAAGACCTGGAGGGGGCTGATGCAGCAGGGCAGAGTGGATAGAGAGCATAGGAGACAGCGTGTCCGTGGGTGCACCTGGCATTACTCTCTGCCCATTTGATCTTCTGGCTTTCACACTCAAAGGTCCCTCAGAAACTCCCCACAGCCCACATCTCTTTGTAAACGCGGATTCCCCCAGACTTACAAAGATTTGGGTTTCAGCCTCAGGATCTCAGGATCTCCTGACAACCTGGATGTCATCTGGAGTCCTGCACATGCAGGGCTCCTAATTGAAGGTGTCATGGAGTCCACTGTTTCACTCGTTGTTAACCATAGGGAGAGATACAGATGTCTCTTTAGAATATTCTAATTCCTCTCAAGAAGCTGGGTTCCAGGGACTGGCAGGGTAGAGACTGAGGAGCTTTCGGGCCCAAGTGGGGACTCACAGGGTGATGTCACTGATAGCTCCATGGAGTTGTCAGATAGGAAAGAGTACAAGGAGGCTGATCCACCACAGCTGAGTGGATACAGAGAGTACATAGGAGCCAGCTTGTCCCACGCTACTCACAAAGATTGCTCTGCTCATTTGATCCATTAGCTTTCACTCCCGAAGCTCCCTACCTAACACTTCCTATAAACTCCACAGCTCACTGTAATCACTGACTTGCCCCAGATTTACAATGACTTCCTTTTAAGTCTCAGTATGTTCTGACAACCCAGATGCCATGTGGATTCACCAGCTTTCAGGGTTCCTAACTGAAGGTTTTGAAGGCATCAGGGAAGCTGAATGGGATCCCATTCAGACAAGTCAGCCTTCATGCCTGCAAGTTCCTTTTCTCTCCTTAGAGGAGGCATAAACACCTGATAGGTGTCCTCGGGGGCTCCCATTGCTGCCTACTTACCACATTTGACAGACCTCAGTCTTGTAGCTCTGGTCAAGCAGACAGCCACTTTATAAAGACTTGCATTATCAGTTTCTGTCCTGATCATTGTTGTATTCTTACCTTACTTTGTGGATATTTGGGCATGGAAAATTTTTAAAGCACCAAATCTAAGTTAGTTTCTAATGTTGTCCATCCTGTATTTCTTCTGGGTGGTTAAGGCTGAGGGAAAGATGAATTCAGTATCACCCATTCACAACTTACTGCTATAATGACAGGTCCATGTGGCTGGATAGATGGCTCACCAGCTAAAAGTACTGGCTGCTCATCCAGAGTGTGAATTTGTTTTCCAGCAAGCAAAAACACACCTCACAACTATCTGTAGCTCCAGTCACAGGGGATCAGACCCCTCTTATGCCCCCCGCTGGGAACTGGCATGTCTGTGATACACACGGGCAAAACCACACTTGAATTAAATATCACTTTAAGAAAAAAAAAGTAAGATGAAGGAAACCTTTTTAAATATATAGGATCATTTAAATATATGGAAAATACACACACACACACACACACAATTTGTTTATGTCTGGTGCCCTAGGAGGCCAGAAAAATTCATCAGATCTCCTGGACCTGGAAATACAAGCAGTTCAGAGTCATCTGATGCAGGTTCTAGGAATCAAACTTGGGTATCCAACAGAAGCAATGCTATTGAGCAAACTCTCCAGCTTGCATGTATATCATTATAATTCAGAAGATAAAGATGACCAATTACTCCTCTGTCTACCACCATTGAAAGTGATGAAAGTCTTCACTAGATGGTTGTCGAAGGACTCAGTGGCTTTCTATACATCCCTTGAATGGACTCTCCACATTGTTGCTTGTTTTCATTATTAATGTGGTTCTCTTAATATGGATAAAGATAACAAAAGATTTTGTTTAATCCACTTAAGAGCCCAGTCAGATTATATTAGGGAATTTCTTTAATATAAAGAAATATGCTTTTTCTTTTTGGAAGTTTTTTGAGGCAGGGAGTCTCTCTCATTCACTATGTGGACCAAGCTAACCTCAAAGTCAGAGAATGAAATGCCACTGTCTCCCAAGCGCTGAGATAACAGACATGTACCGCTAAGCTCAGCTGTGATGCTTTTAAAATGATGTGTCCTGAAACAGAGAATTAAAGGATGAAATAAGATTTTAAAAGGCGGCAGGGTGATGGTGGCGCATGCCTTTAATCCCAGCACTCAGGAGGCAGAGGCAGATGGATCTCTCTAAGTTAGAGGCCAGCCTGGTCGACAGAGCTACTTCGAGGACAGCCTCCGAACAATACAGAGAAACCCTGTCTCAAAAAACCAAAAATAATAATAATAATTATATATATATATAAACCAATATTTTGAATAGCATTAGTGCTTCTTGAAATTATGTAATAATAATTTAATCTGGCAAATCATTTCATACTGTAGCATGAGTTCTTTTTGTTCTTAATAATAAAAACACAGTGTCCGATATTAGGGGGTGAAGGTAAAGGATGAGAGAAGCAAAGCAGCCAGCCACTAGAGTTCTTGCCTCTATGGAATCTCCAGACCGAAAAGAAGCCAAGCTACTGTCTCCTCCCAACATATACTTCTCTCTCTGCCCAGTCATATCACTTCCGGTCTGTCTGTAGAGACCTTCAGACCTCAGGGGTTAACCAGTGGCTAGCTCTGCCCACTGATGTTCCAGCAAACTTCATTTGCTAGACTACAAACAATTTCATTCATTTAAATTCTTTCAACGGTGTCTGTGTACACATCTTCACATACACCTAGTGTGGATGCAGCAGTGAGAACACAACTTACAGATGTCTTTCTCCACTACTTCCAAGATGGGAGCTCTAGAGATAAATCCCAGGGAGTCGCTTGGGTTTAAAACCTATTTATGTATGTGGTGGTGTGGGAGTTTGTACATGACACAGCCCAAGTATAGAAATAAGAAAAAAACCTTGTAGGAGTCGTATGGGGCTCCCAGTGATAGAACTCAGGACATCAGGTTTAGTAGCAACCACCTTTACCCACTGAGAAAAATTCTCTAGGATTCAAATGTCGGTCTGAGAAAGTGTTATAAACAGGTATTTACTGCTCAAAGTAAACTAACACATTCCATAAATAAATTAATAAAAGATAGTGGTATATCATTTTCATTTACAAATAGGATTTATTATTCAAATTGTCCTGTTTTACTCTCCTTGGATGAAATTAAGATTACAATCACAAAAGAAGATAAGAACATTTACAAGATGTAAAGTTTCACTTAATCTTCTTTGAGCATGTCTAAGGTGGCCCACTAGGAAACATCTGCAGTGTGCAAGGCTGGTAACCTCATCATGATCACCATATGAAAACGGACAAAACTAGATCCCTCAAAGGTGTCTTCTGGGCTCCACATAGCTATCATGACCAAAAACCCATAATCAAATTACGCACACACATACACAACAGAAATGATTTTATAAAAAATACATCTCAGGTGGTAGTAGCTTAAAACTTTAATCCCAGCACTCGAGAGGCTGAGGTAGGCAGATCTCTGTGCATTTGAACAGCTGTTACAAAGAAACCCAGTCTAACCTCCTTGGATACTAGCATGCCCATGCACAAAGCCACACAGACACACCGACATCACATAATTAACTTTAAATCATATCGTTAAACAATCTTCACTCACAAATGTTTTTTTTCTTGTGAAAGCATGCACACCTGTAACACAGATGTTGAGGCATTTAAATGCTTACAGAGGTATTCTTCATCTAGAATGGGTTTATGTACAAAACACAAATACGTGGGCTTCAAGGAAGACAAATCAGTCCTTCTCACTTGGTGGTGTCCATTGGGAAGACTTAAAGCATGCTGCTCTGTTAGAACAAATGTGTCACTGGGGGTGGCCTGAGAGTTTGCATCACACACCATTTCCAGTTGTCACTCTCTGCTTCATGCTGAAGGCTGAGGATGTGAGTTCTTAGTCTCCTGCTTTAGGGGCCGTGTCTGAAACCTGTTGCCATGCCACTTACATGGTGACCTTGCATTGCTCTGGACCATGAGCCAAACTAAACTCTTTCATGAGGGGACTTAGACATCTTTTATCACAGCAAGAGATAAGGCACTAATACAAATTCATAAAGTTTTAATTCCCGATGAGTTATTTCATATAACCGAAGAAAATCGTGAAATCAACAAGGGTTACCTTATCTTTTAAGTTCATAAAGATTTTGTCTATATGAGTTTGGAGGTACAAATAATAAGAGGGACATTGTAATGCTTGAACATATTGTGGACACTTGTCAGATTTTTTTTTCTCCAGAATAAGTAATCTTGTGCAACTGGATGTAAGTATGCAAGCTAAAGATCTTACCACATCCTTGAAGCTCAGGTTGCCTTCAGTATGAGTTTTTTGAGGCCTTCAAATGCTACTCTGATAGCCAAAGGCATTAACATATCAATGACACAATAAAAGATTTTGTCTGGAATAAAGACAAGGAAGCGCAATCACTGCAACTACAGGGTTTTCCTGAAGTATGATTTTTTTCTCATAATTTTGAAAACTGCTGGTATATGCCATATCACATTGATTATTTTTTCGGGGATTCTCTCCAATGTGTTCTTCTATGAATTCGAAGATGACTGTGCTGTGCAAAGGCTTCAACACACTGATTACATTTGTAAGGTTTCTCTCCAGTATGTATTTTTTTATGTATTTGGAGACTACCGAGATATGTAAAGTCTTTCCCGCATTCATTACATGCATAAGGTTTCTCTCGAGTATGTGTTCTTTTATGTAGTTTAAGCTGTCCACTACTTGAAAAAGCTCTACCACATTCAGTACATTCATAGGGTTTCTCTCCTGTATGTGTTCTGATATGTATTTGGAGATGACATTTTCGTGAAAAGGCTTTACCACAATGATTACATTCATATGGTCTCTCTCCAGTATGTGTTCTTTTATGTGCTTGAAGATGATTGTGACGTGCATATGTTTTATCACATTGATCACATTTATAGGGTTTCTCTCTAGTGTGTGTTCTTTTATGTATCCGAATATAACTCTGGTGTGCATAAGTTTTACCACATATATTACATTCATAGGCTCTCACTCCAGTATGTATTATTTCATGCATTCGGAGATTACTTTGCTCTGAAAAGACTCTACCACATTGATTACATTTGTGAGGTTTCTCACCAGTATGAGTTCGTTCATGTATTTGAAGATGACTATAACGTGCAAAGGCTTTACCACATTTATTGCATTCATAGGGTTTCTCTCCAGTATGTGTTCTGATATGGATTTGGAGATTGCTGCGCTGTGAAAAGGCTTTACCACAATGATTACATTCATAAGGTTTCTCACCAGTATGTGTTCTCTTATGTTTTCTAAGCAGAAAAGCACAAGAGAAGGCTTTCCCACATTGATTACACTCATAAGGTTTCTCTCCAGTATGTGTTCTTTTATGTATTTGAAGACTACTTTGGCATGTAAAAGCTTTACCACATTGATCACATTCACAGGTTTTCTTCCTAATACGAATTCCTTTACGTCTTTGAAGATGCCTGGAATATGCAAAGACGTTAACACATTGAGTATATTCAGAGGGATTCTCTCCAATATGATTTCTTTTGTTCCTGCAAAGATAATTGGTATATGTAAAAGCTTTACCACTGATGAATCAGTGTACGTGTATGAATTCATTTTACAATTGGGTGTAATTGTAAAGAGGACTCAGATTTTTTTTTTCATTTTTTTATTTCAATTAGCAACAAGCTTGCTTTACCTGTCAATCCCAGCTCCGTCTCCCACCCCTCATTCCCTGGTCCCCCACCTTTCCCCTTACCCCCCCACACTATCACCTCTCCATTCCCAAGGGAGGATGAGGCCCTCCATGTGGATATCCAGAGTCTGTCATTTCTTTCAGGGCAGGGCCTAGGCCTTTGAGGGATCAGATCTTAAGATTTACCCTCATGGTATTCCCCTTCATTGACAGTTGTTCATTTTGTGTCTTTAATGATGCCTGTGATGATAAGACCATTTATTACATGGCTCATTTAAAGCATCTTTTTTTTTTAATGAGATTTTTCACATATTTGAAGAGAACTGGAAAAACTCAGAGCATTACCATACTTGTTGTATTCATAAATTTTCCTAAAGTGTGGATCAAACTACATTTTCAAAGTGAACCAGGACAAACAGAAGTATGTACACATTCCAATACTCATAGGGCTTTTTTGACTACATGTGAGTTTGTTGGTGTATTCCCAATGAAGTTGGGAAAAAAATTAATTGTCAATTTGTATAACGTTCAACAAGACTGTTTAACATAGAGACTACTATATATATTCTCATTGTTCTGAGAGAGAGGTATGTTGCCTGTCTCCATGTTCCTATGTTCATAACATTTGTACCCAGAGTGACATATAATAAATCTATTAAAGATTCACAAATAAAGGCTCCCACTTTCACTCACATAGATTGACTTTCTGTTCCTCATAGACACATGATATACAAATTAAAGCTTCTCCATGACAACCTTCTCGACTCTCAGAAACTTCATCTCTCCTTAAACTTAGCAAAGTTACTACAAATATATGAGTAACACTAGCTTTACTATTAACTATTTGCTTATTAGAAGGTTTTGGACATAATCTTATCACCTATTCAATGTATAGAACTCTTGTGATATCTAAGCTGTATGAAACAAAAAGGACTTGGCAATCTACAGCATAGCGCTCATGGAGCTGTGATTCAAATGATAACAGTTAACACATTGTTTCCTTATCTTCTTTCTTAGAGAAATGGCTTGTGAAGACAAATCACCTATCTGACACTGAGATACATGGATATGTGAGAATTTAATAATCAATACACTATAACCTGTCCTTATTTACACTGTTGCTTTTCTTCAAAACTTCAAGAAATATTTATAACAGCTTACACATGAAAATTACCTTCCATGTCTTCGAGAAGTTTGGCAATGTTCTTCAATATTATGATCTTTGCAATTGTTACCTAAAACATAAAACCAAAAAATATATGATATATTATTAGAAATTGTGCAAAACTCAGGTTACTGTCTTCAGTTCACCTTAAAACCATGCCCGATTTACTCACCTTATTGTTCCTTTCTCAATCAAAATTTTAGAAGAGGATCGATAACCAAGAAAAGTTGTCCCTTTATTTTGAAACATGAGGAAAAACTTCAGTCTTACCTACAACAGTGAAGTTCCAGTAAGTTTCCAACATCACATCTTTGTAGAGATTCTTCTGGGAAGGATTCAGCAAAGCCCATTCTTCCCCAGAAAAGTTGATATGCACGTCATCATAGGTCACTGTATTCTAAAATATCCAATACATGTGTACAACAGAAAGTATGATAGTGATAACATTGTAAATGTATAATTCTTTGACAATATATTCATAGAATTCTTGTGCTTCCCACACATCTTTCATGACCAAAGTTATAATGTAATCACCAAGTCACTCTAAATAGGCAGTTCACCTGACATTTCTTCAGTCTTTGAATAGGATATAGCCTTCAAAGAGAAATTCCAACTAACAGACATAAAAAGAGACAGGCAAACAGATCACTGGTACTGAATACTCATCAGAGAAATTGTATGAAGAATTACAAACTACAAACAAGATGGGAAAGCCGGGTGTACTGGTTCATGACTTTAATACCAGCATTCAAGAGGCAGACACAGGTGTATCTCATTGAGTTGGATGCCAGCCTGGTCTATGCTGTAAGTTCCAGGAGTGCCAGAATTATATATTAATAAGACCCTGTCTCCCCCACAGAAATCAAACAAACAACAAAGGTAGAAAGAATTTAGAGGTTTTTATTGAAGTTTCTACAAAGAGTTACACATTCACTCCAGTTCAGTATTCATCTTCCAGAAACCTGAAGTGTTCCCATCTAAACTACAACATTAATATGAGGGAACGCATGTTTAACCATTTACAAATGGACAGATGAAAACACTGGCAATGTACATGTTGATCATACATGAGCATCATACTGCAGAAGAGGTAGCTCAGCAGTTAGCAGCTCTTGCTGGTTTTGCAGATAGGTGCTCTCAATTGCCAGTAATTACATGGGGGCTCAAAACAGTACCTCCAAGTTCAGGGGTTCTGAGGCCATCTTCCAACTACTGTGAGGAACAGGCACACATATGTGCATATTTATACATACAGGCAAAAGACTCATATCCATTCAAAAGAATTCAAAACAAGCAATAGGTAAGAATGTCACACACCTGCAATCCAATGACTCAGAAGGCTCAGGCAGTATTAACACCATGAATACAAAAACCTACATTTCAGGCCCATCAGCCAAACAAAGAACCAAAAGAAAACAAAACAAACGAAAAACAGGCATGCTGGCCCACCTTTAATCCCAGCACACAGGAGCCAGAGTCATGTGAATCTCTGAGTTCAGAGCAGCCTAATTTCAGGACAGCCAGGACTACACAGAGAAACCTTGTCTTCAAAAACAAAACTAACAAATTTAAAAAAATGGGGCTAAGAAAATGGCTTATCCTATTGTATAGCAATCACTTCAACTGTATCTTATATGACATATGATAGGACCTATAATGATGGTGTCATGAAAGCAGGACACAAACAGGAAATGGCCGGAGGAAAGAAACATGCAAATCCCATGTCCAATGAGGAATATCATCCAGAAAGATTCCTCCTACTAAAGGTTCCACAAAAACCCAAAAGCCACCAAGGAGAGACAACTGTTCAAATACATCATCCTATCTGTGAGGCTTTAATTCAATTGACTACATTCTGACCCAGGTCACTATAGGCTCATGGTCATCTCATGATGAAAATGTATTTGATCTAACTCGACTACTGTCACAGCTACAACAGCTTCTACACTGTTCAAATGTCCAAACTCTCTTCTGATACTGAAGACAATCTCTTATAAAATCAAGAAACATACTAAAAATTTCCTACACACAATGGCACCAGATATAGTCCCATTCTAAAAGAACGTATGTGGTTCTGTTTCAGACCCCATCTTGGGCAGACATCACACCCTCCTGTCAGGCAAATTCAGTCAAAGATTCCCTGATGGACCAGAGGCCACACCACTATCAGAAATCCAGGTGGGCAGTTCATCTGTGAGCCTCATTAATAAAAACCATGGCTCTGTTCTTAGAACAGTGTCACAGTGTTCCTTGGATGGCTTTCCTGTAGGAAGCACCAGAGAAGTTCCTGTGTGCCTGGCAAGGACAGTTGTGACAGTATCTTCATCGAAGGCTGTTTTTCCTGGGACTGGCCATGGGATGACACCTTTCATCCAGCATCACTCACTGTATGCTCTTCATGGAGTTTTCTTTAACTCTGATGGTAATGGGTATGATAAGGGCATGACGACATTCTCTTCATAGTTTATAAGGAGGATTTATTAAGAATTTATGACAGGATTGAGAAGGTTTTAAGAAAGACAAAATAGGAGGTCAGACAGTTCTTGAAGCACATACTAGTTCTCAGGAACAAATACATAGTATCCTCTGACTGCAAAAACAGCCCCTTGCAGCCGGGTGTTGGTGGCGCACGCCTTTAATCCCAGCACTCGTGAGGCAGAGGCAGGCGGATCTCTGTGAGTTCGAGGCCAGCCTGGTCTACAGAGTGAGTTCCAGGACAGCCTCCAAAACAATACAGAGAAACCCTGTCTCGAAAAAACAAAAACAAAAACAAAAAAAAACAGCCCCTTGCAAGAATGAACATTAGTTCAGGAAGAAGAAACTCATCTCTATAGGTACATGAACCTCAGGCAGTCAGAAAAAAAGAGAGCACCCAGCAGTGGTGGCTTACACCTTTAATTCCAGCACTTGGGAAGCAGAGGCAGGCGCATCAATTTGAGTTGGAGACCAGCCTAGTCTACAAGACCTAGTTCCAGGACATGCTCTAAAGCTACACAGAGAATCTCTGTCTCAAAAAAACAAAAAAAGTGATAGCTATCCAGAAAGTCATCCATTTCCTTTAAATTTTCCAATTTGTGGAGTACAGGTATTCAAAGTATGACCTGAAGATTCTCTGAATTTCCTCAGAGTCCATTGTTATGCCCCCCTTTTCATTTCTGATTTTGTTAATTTGCATGTTCACGCTCTGCTTTTTGGTAAGTTTGGACAAAGGTTTGTCTATCTTATTGATTTTCTCAAAGAACCAACTCTTCATTGTATTGATTCTTTGTATTGTTTTCCTAGTTTCTACTTTATTGATTTCCACCCTCAGTTTGATTATTTCCTGGCCTCTACTACTCCTGGTGGAGTTTGCTTCTTTGTGTTCTAGAGCTTTCAGCTGTGTTGTTAATTCTCTAGTGTGACTATTCTCCAGTTTCTTCATGTGGGCACTTAGAGCTATGAACTACCCCGTATCAATGCTTTCAAAGAGTCCTATAGGTTTGGGTATGTTGTGTCTTCATTCTCATTGAATTCTAGGAAGTCTTTAATTTCTTTTTTTATTTTTTCTTTGACCCAGGAATGGTGCAGTTGAGCATTATTCAATTTCCATGAGTTTGTAGGTTTTCTGCAATTTGTGTTGTTGTTGAATTCTAATTTTCACACATGGTGGTCTGATAAGATGCATGGAGTTATTGCAATTTTTTTGTAGCTGCGGAGGTTTGATATGTTGCCAAGTATGTGATCGATTTTTGAGAAGGTTCCATGCGGTGGTGAGAAGAAGGTATATTCCTTTCTATGTGGATGGAATGTTCTATAGATGTCTGTTAACTTCTATTAGACCCTTTGCTTCTTTGTTGACTTTCTGTCTGGTATTCCTGTCTAGTAGTGAGAGTGGGGTGTTGAACTCTACCACTATAAGTGTGTGGGGCTTTATACGTGATTTAAGCTTTAGTGATGTTTCGTTTATGAACATGGATGCATTTGTATTTGGGGCATAGATGTTCAGGATAGACACTTCATCTTGGTGGATTTCACCTGTGAAGAGTATGTAATGACCTCCTTCATCTCTTTTGATTGATTTCAGTTTAAAGTCTAGTTTGTTAGATATTATGATTGCTACCCCTGCTTGTTTCTTGGGGCCATTTGATTGGAAAATCTTTTCCCAACCTTTAACTCTGAGCTAATGTCTGTCTTTGAGGCTGAGGTGCAGCACAAGGATGGATTCTGTCTTCAAATCCATCTGTTAGCCTGTACCTTTTTATGGGCAAGTTAAGACCATTAATGTTGAGGATTATTAATGACCATTGATTGCTCATTCTTCTTTGGTTGGCATAACTGGATGCTGGCATGTAGAAGAATGCGGATAGAACCATGTCTATCGCCATACACAAAACTTAAGTTCAAATAGATCAAAGACCTCAACATAAATCCAGCCACACTGAACCCCTTAGAAGAGAAAGTGGGTGGTACCCTTGAATGAATTGGTACAGGAGACAGCTTCCTGAACATTAATTACACCAGTAGCACAGACAGTGAGATCAACAATTAATAAATGGGACCTCCTGAAACTGAAAAGCTTCTGTAAGGCAAAGGACACAGTCAGCAAGACTAAAAGGCAGCCCACAGAATGGGAAAAGATATTCACTAACCCTACATCTGACAGAGGGCTGATCTCCAAAATTTACAAAGAACTCAAGAAGCAAGTCTCCAAAACACCAAAGGATCCAATTAAAAAGTGGGGGACTGAACTAAATAGATATCTCAATAGAGGAGTCCAAAATGGCTGAGAGGCACTTGAGAAAGTGCTCAACAACCTTAGCCATCAGGGAAATATAAATCAAAACAACTCTGAGAAACCACCTTACTCCTGTCAGAATGGCTAAAATCAAAAACACCAACTACAATTTATGCTGGAGAGGATGTGGAGGGGAACACTCCTCCACTGCTGGTGGGAGTGCCAACTCGTACAGCCACTTTCGAAATCAGTATGGAGATTCCTCAGAAAAATGGGAATAAACCTACCACAAGACCCAGCAACCCCACTCTTAGGCATGTATCCAAAAGATGCCCATTCATACAAAAAGGATGTCTGTTCCACTATGTTCATAGCAGCATTATTTCTAATAGCCAGAATTTGGAAGCAACCTAAATGCTCCTCAACTGAAGAGTGGATAGAGAAAATGTGGTACATTTTCACAATGGAGTACTATTCAGCAGAAAGAAAAAAAAAAACAAGGAAATCCTGAAATTTGCAGGCAAATGGATGGCACTAGAAGAAACCATCCTGAGTGAGGTAACCCAGTCACAAAAAGAGAAACATGACATATACTCTCTCATATATGGATTTTAGACATAGATCTGGGGACTGCCAGCCTACAATCCCATGGCCAGAGAGTCTGAGAAACAGAACCTTCATTC